TAAAATTGCAATACTATCTCCATATGGAACATTCATTCAGCTTTCCAATGATGCAAGCAGAATAAATTTCCGTGTCACAACTTTCATTCAATTAGGTAAAGAATATAAGAGGTGGCACTGGAAAAGTTGGTGCCATGATGCAATGACAGCTAGTCATCACTTACAGTGAGGAGATGACCTCCTGCATGCATTAGCTGTCATCACATCATGGCACCAACTTTTGCAGCGCCACCTTTTAATGGAGTGCTTTGGATTTCTTCACATAGGAACATACAAGGAGGCAAGAGAGAACATCCACAATGTAGAATTGTTGACTGATTGGAGTGATGTTGGTGTTTCTTCTGCTAGAAAGAGAAAAGTGAAACCCCCTGACAGATACGGGCCACAACTAAGAGGTGGAGAGCAGAAGCACAGTACTTTTAAAAGGAATTTTCTGAAAAAGAAGCAGAGGTTTGAATATTCTCCAAAGACATCAGATGACTTTACCTGTGAAAGTTCACTACCAGATTCTACTTCAGAAGAGTCAGTTGAAGAAATGCCACAAAAACTAATAGGAATGAAGAAGCAGCAAATATATAGTACAACTTTCCCTCCACACCATATTTCTAAGTTCCCACAAGGCAATGATGAAGATATGGATGCTGCATCAAGTCAGGGCCAACTTAATTTCTCATCATCTTCTGCTGACAATGGTGTTGCCACTGGTGCTCAGTTTAGTAGACCATCTATCCCTGAGTCCTATGAAAATGGTAAGTGGAATTACTGGGAGAATCTTCATGCTTTTTGAGCCCAACATGGAAGTCATATTAAGCTTTTTTGTGGCACAATAGCATTTTTCATCTACATTCAGTTTCATTGTTTTTGGGAGGGGAGGCAGTTTCTTGCACAATTCATACCAAATCTCCATCATGGAGGATAGTGGACACCTATGCTATTGGCTTCAGTGTAATATGAAGGATGACTGGAAAATGCACAAGTAGATATCTCCTTGTCTACAGTGATTGTTGAGGCTTAGCAACTGTCGCTTTAAAATAGCAACTACAGGAAACAATACTCTTTCTGATGGTGATCCACCCACATCTAGAATTGAGACAGCTGTATATCTCTGAATGCTGTTAAGTAAACTAGTTGCCTATTTCTGTGCCTCAACATCACATTTTATCGTGTCTCAAAACTGCCTCTTTAGACATGGATGCATCTGGAAGTTGCACTTCGACTTCTGGAATATAGCATATGTACAAGCACAGTTGCTCGCAAACTGGACAATGCTTCCTTGGTTATAGCAGACACAAGGTGGTGTGATGTATTAGTGCATGAATAATCCACCTTTGAGGAGATGTGGTCATTCCTTTTGCAATGTTGCCTTCAAACGAACTGATGTTTGTGTAGTACTGTCTGTTCATTGTTTGGTCCTTTGTACAAACACTGCTCATTTTGTCTGCAACTGTTCTGGAACATCTGCTGCATTCTCCTGATCTTGCCCTGTGGCACTTCTGGATGTTTTTTCTGAGAGAGGGAGCATTAAGGATGGAAGTTTGTCTGACTCAGAAGGTGTGCTCTGCACAGTATCAAAAGATAGGCTGTTGGTTTCATTCTAGAATTGAGGTGGGTGGATCACTCATAAGGACTTCGCATAACTAGCTGGGGCTGTTACTTTGAGAGTGAGGCAGTCGTCATATCTCGATTGACACAGTTTAAAGCTTGCATCTCTTGAAATCTTCCAGGAATTGCTTGCATTTCAGGTATTCTGTTGAAGAAAATCCTCCATATACTGGTGGAGGTAAGGGCAGAGGTCAAAGAGCAGGGTAAAAACCTCAATGCCATTTGGACCAGCTTGGCTTCTGGGACTCAACTGCCACAAAGGGATTTCATGACAAGACTCAAAGATGTGTCACTTCCTCTCTCCAGCATTGAGGAATTGGAGAGACTTGTAACTTCATTTGTAACAAAGGAGGAAGAAAGGAATGCTTTGGTATGTTGCTTGTAAAAGCTAATGGCGTTAATAAATTATTTTTATGGTATTCATGATTTTGCAAGAAATTTATTATGCTTCTGTAATGTTGTCTGTCCAATCAAAGAAGCTGCCTCTATGTGGCCTTGATTTTTCTAGGCTTTTTCTGAAATATAGTAGTATATATAGCAATGTAAGACCTTTGGCCAAGTCACCAGGAATTCTGGTGTTTCTGCACTTGTAACACAAACAATCATAACATTTCCAGGTGATGTACTTGGCCCAATTTGGGGGCAACACTGTCAAGGACACTGCCTACAGCATCATGCGAGCCTTATTACTGAATGCCCTGGCAGCCAAGTATAGCTTCCAAGGTGCAAAAGGGAAGAAGTCTTTCAAGGAGACAGGGCTTCCTCAGATTATTTTCCGTGAGTCTCTTCATATGCACTTACCAATTCTAGAAAGATGTGTTGATTTCAGTGAAACGCAGTAATGTAATGAATTATTAATATTAACTATACATATGGTTTTTCACAGCTTTTGGCAACAACTTTGCTCCAACCTGCTTATGAAATCTTTGCTGTCAAGAAGTATGTGAAAAAATCACAGAACAGGGCAATGTCTGTTGTCATTTTTGTTCATGGGTTGGTATTGCCTAGATTTGCAAAATAAGAACTTGTAGAGAGAAACTGACTCACCTTAGCCCAAATCCTATAGTAAGATATTGTGTTGTTGCAATGCCCAAAATGCTATTGCATAATGGACTTGGTGAATGTGTGGATTTAAGTTCTCATTTTTAAATAATGATAATCATCAATTTTTTTCACTTTAGAAGCAGTGTGCAGAAACCAGAAGCTTGGAGGGGCCATTCAAATCAAAGAAGTGAATGCCATTGTTGGTGAATGGTTGAGGTATGCCAGTGCTCGGATGCGCTCAGGTGGGAAGAAGATTGAAGAATGGTAAGCCTAATTCAATATCTGTATCTTCAACATTTTGCATGGTGAATGCAAGTTTTTATTTCTTATAAATTACTGCTTTTTCTATCTCAATGAAGAAATGAAGTAATATAGCCTCTTCAGACTTAGAGATTGAAGAGGTTAAAGATATGAAGCCAAGTGATTCAGATTTTTCCACTAATTCCTTTGAGCACTTTATGGCGATATTAATATTCCTGTTGAAAATGTGCATATGGAGCCATTCCATGTCTGGGAAAATAGATTTAAAATTTTCATAGTAAGAAAACTGCAATGGGCAATGATATTACAGAAAGTAAGGACTACTGCTCTCACCTTAATTGTTTTCATGCCATGTGCAACAAGTTCTCTTTTGTTCATATTGGAGATATTCAGTACCTAATTTTTAGTGAGCTTCTTTCCGAAAAAGAAAAGGACTACTGGTAATCTCAGTATCTTTTACTTTTTGGTGTGCAACAGTGCCAATGGGGAAAACAACCTGATCAAATCATCAAGTTCTAACATTTCTTCTGCAGAATTTCCAAAAACCCTTATTTGATTTTTTATAACCTGTGATTAAGATGACCAGTACTTTAAATACTATCCACTAATGGTAATAAAAGAATTTTAGCAGAATAAGGAAGAGTTCAGCTTTCCAACAATGACTTTCATTTTATAAATTTTTATGACATTAAAATTAAAAAAATTCTGAGTTGGCTCTGACGTAAATATGAAATTACTATGAAGTGAAATGGAGTAAAAATGGAATCCAGCTAGATATTGGCATTGTTAGAAGGGGACCCACTACTGGACTTGCCCAATTTGCTTCGGTTCTATTATGCTTTTTTAAACATCGAACTTCCATGTATGGGAAGTTGTCAGATTTGTAAAGATGGCTATGTAGGGCTTCCCAACTGTCACAAATAATAGGATTATAGTGAATTAATTATATTCTGGCTGAACAGTTTGGAACTTGCACGACTACTGGTATTATACTGCAATTACAGGATTTCCTTAGCTGTCTAGTCTCATCCAAGTGGGCCACTTTGGTCACTTTCCACTATTGGGTCAATTTGAGTCACTGGTCAGAATTAGTGATCAAGGTAACTTGGACATTTTAGTATTCCAACAAGTAGTAATTTGGATTTCAAAGTAGTCTACACAGGAAATAATCTATGCACAATAATCTTTTATGACTGAATGATACTAGTATGAATTATCATCTGTAATGTATAACGGTTTGTTACTTTTGGAACGCCCTGTTTATCATGTCCAAATCTGAAATTGAATTGTGTGTACACCTTTTTTGAGCATCAGTGAACTTGTCTGGCTTCTTTGTAGGAAACCAATGGATGATGACATCAAACCTCACTAACTTGATGGAGTGGACTTCTGAGAAATGATTTTTCCTGTTTACTTCAGTAACTTATCGCAGTGCATATTTTAAAGAAATTATTCATGCTGTTTTGTTGGCCAATAAAATGGATGCTTCATTCATGAATCATTGGGTCTTCATTGTCTTCTTGTGCCCTCAATCCCTTGGAAATATCACAAAGTTGAGAAGTCAATGTTGACACAACGTTGCACATAAGCAACTTTTCAACGTTGAACTGTGTTTCATTTCAACATCGCTTCAACGTCGAAGCAACCTTTTGCACAACATTGCGGCAACGTTGTCATCAACCTTTTCTCAATGTTGACACAATGTTGTTGTGCCGAATGGGCAGTTGATATACTAAGCTTGCTCGGACACGAAATTCTCTATGTTCAGTCAGTTCTAAGACTATCTTCAACTTAATCGCACAACTGTGACTTTTCTTGGGTAGGCTGAGCGGACGGACACGGGGTGCGAAGGTATTATAACGAAGTCGAGAACTCCGTTGAGAAGTTTGCTTATGTTAGCAGGATATTCATCTTAGACATGCAATATCGGACTTATTGCGTTACGTACAGCTAAATAAAATATTTTCTACTACCCTGGTCCTCGCATGTGCTTTATTGCAATGCTCTCGTTGGCGGTTTGCAGGGTTCAAGCATGGAGTCCACAGGACATTTCCATATTAATTGCTAAGCACGATAGAAGAGACTTCTCTACTTTGCAACTGGCGAAAAAAAAGTGCCACGTGTGTTGTGTAGATATTTTCTGTTGCTTTGAGTGAGTTAGCGGCGGAGAAAACGTCAACTAAATTTAACGTGGCAAGTGGAAGGGACAGGGGGCAACTGAATACTTTGATATACGAGGGGAGTTCAAGGTCCAATGGCACTTTTATTTCCCACAGAAGGCACAAGAAGAGATACATCCATGAAACTTTTCTAATTTTCAATCTATTTCCCCTTTACACGTGTACACTTCTCCCATGGGTGGGATAGAGCTTGCATGCCTTTGACAAAAAAGTCTTAGGGTTGGTGTTGGAGCCACCGGAGGACAATTCTACACCTCTTCATCTGTCTTGAATATCGACCCAGACAAATGTTTCTTTGTAAACATTTCCTAACATGTGGAAGTCACCTGGAGAGAGATCTGGACTGTATTCCAAAATCTCCCAGCCGCGTCAGTTTATGGTTGTGACGATCATGTTCACCAAATGAGGGCGAACATTGTCATGGAACATTATCACGCCTCTACTAAGTAGCCCTTGGCGATTCTTGCGTATGGCCTGCAGCACTTTGCCTTTCAAAAGATCACGGTAGTACTTTGCATCAACTGCTCTACAGCGCTCCAGAAATTCCACATGAATCACACCCAAGATTTCCCAGAACGACAATACCGATGTCTGTGCTGTGTCTGGTGGGTGCGCACAATCCTCATCGGCAACTGATTCACGCCCATTTTTAAACATGTCACACCAACGGTACATCGTTCGCCTTGGAAGAGCAGCATTACCAATATGTTATGTTAGTCTACAGTGGATATCTACCACTTTGACACCTTCCTTCATCAGAAATTTGATTACACATCGCTGTTCCAATGCCGGAGTGATAGCGCCCGACGTCATATGGTTTTCTTCTGCGAGGAACTCTCACTCACCTTTCATCTTCAGGTTATACGTCACCCAGTGTTACAGCAACATTTATGCAAATTTTCATTGCTCTTGCATTACCCGTTGCTTGTGTGTAACAAGGTGCCATTGGACCTTGAACTCCCCTCGTAATAAAGACCAACCAAAAAATGCAGTAAATATCCTCCAAAAGAGATCACCAAGTTGAAGATGTGAAGTTGGTGAGAGAGCAGAGAGAAGCGACGAAATTTCCATTGCCTCGCCTGAGTCTCTGTTCGGCGTCGGGAAAGACAAACGGCGGAGAGAGAGACACCACCCAAACTGGAGGAGGATGGGTGGAGACCCGGACGAGCTGGCAAGGAGGGCAGGACGTTCTCGTCAGCGGACAGGACCAGTCTGGAGAAGGACGTTCTGCCGAGTGCCACCCGCGTATCAAACTGAAACGCCCCGAAATGTAGAGAGCTCCACTATTTAAAGAAAACAGGCAAAGTCGGTTGGAGAAAGCGGTTCTCAGGCCCAAGATGAGGGAGACTGGGTGCATGCACCCCGGAGAGAGCAAAAGGCGGAAAAGGGTTAAAAGTAAGTTCCTCGTGTACATGAAAGAAGCAGCTTTGGTGGAGCGCTAGTACTCTTTCCTCATGACCCCAAGTAACACGATTATTGGTGTCACACATCTTTCATCGAAGAAGATCTCGAAGCACGGCAGCTACCAGTAAGGGCATTGATATGAAAACTTCCGCAGCATCATGGGCGCAAAGGCGACCGCTGTGACCCTTACTGCATGGAAAGCCTCATGCTGCCGTTCCCGATACGTCGCTTCACTGTTTCCACCCTTACGGAAATGTCCTATAGGAAACCAATAGTTATTTCTTATAGGAAACCTATAGACTTTCCTATAGGNATAATCTTTTATGACTGAATGATACTAGTATGAATTATCATCTGTAATGTATAACGGTTTGTTACTTTTGGAACGCCCTGTTTATCATGTCCAAATCTGAAATTGAATTGTGTGTACACCTTTTTTGAGCATCAGTGAACTTGTCTGGCTTCTTTGTAGGAAACCAATGGATGATGACATCAAACCTCACTAACTTGATGGAGTGGACTTCTGAGAAATGATTTTTCCTGTTTACTTCAGTAACTTATCGCAGTGCATTTTTTAAAGAAATTATTCATGCTGTTTTGTTGGCCAATAAAATGGATGCTTCATTCATGAATCATTGGGTCTTCATTGTCTTCTTGTGCCCTCAATCCCTTGGAAATATCACAAAGTTGAGAAGTCAATGTTGACACAACGTTGCACATAAGCAACTTTTCAACGTTGAACTGTGTTTCATTTCAACATCGCTTCAACGTCGAAGCAACCTTTTGCACAACATTGCGGCAACGTTGTCATCAACCTTTTCTCAATGTTGACACAACGTTGTTGTGCCGAATGGGAACTCACCTAGTGCAAGCCATGGCGCATTCAACGACATGTCCTGTGGTGAACTGACGAAACGGTGATGTGATCTTCATTTGAATGCTCTTCAAGGGGTAGAATCTCACCTGATTGTTGAGCGCCATTGCTGTCCAGACGAGCCAGAACGCGGCGCAGAGGGGCTTCATCTTCCTTCTACCAGCCTCGCCGGACGACTGCGGCGCCGCGGCAGCGCGCAGGGTAGATATGCAGGTCCGGTGTCGTCTGTTGCCGCATTTTTCGTCGAGCTGTGCGGTCCATGATCTCATTTGACAGGAGGACCTCGCGGCAGCTTTGACGAGATATTCAAAGGTGTAGGAGTGGTAGAAGCTGAGAATTCGGGATTAGCTTAATTAATTAGAATTCATGGATTAGCCAAATCGATTGGAAATTCTTTTTTCACCTTTGCTTTCATCGACGTCTCAATGGTTTTCCCGCATGGAGTTATTCACATCCGCATCGCCTGGGAATTCTTTCCTGACTAGAAGACAAAGAGCGGACAATGGAGGTGAAAGATCAAGCGGAAGAAGAAGGCCGTCGTTGTCAAACGGCTGTCTTGCGCTGTCGTTCCTCCTGGTGTCGCATCAGCAAGGGTGAATCTCTCATCTCTCTTTCTGGGTCTAATTATGTGTGGGTAGGTGAGAGAATTTCTCATCCGTTTCAAGAAGTTTGTAAGGAAACGCGGCTTCTCTGATAATTCCTGTAAATTTGGAATTCCGTATTTCTCTGACTCTTTGCCGAGGGGAAATACTATTTCATGTAAGGGAAATATGATCAACACATGAATTTTCCGACCAAAAACCAAAAACCAAAAGACCAAAAACCTTTGAAGCGCTCATGCGAACTTGTGGTGGCTGAGATCAGTACAATTGCATTACTTGACGTTACGATAAACGTTCGTTCGAGTTTCCATGGAAGGGAAAAAGAAACGCGGAGAAAACGTTTTCGACGCACATCGCAATCTCCTCAGTCGCGGCGAATGTTTACTCGAGCAGCGCGTTACGGCGGCTGCTGTAAATTATTCAGAACGAATACGACGAAATTGTGATTGTCGAGGCCGCCGGGACACGAACGGTTAACGGCGCACAAGGTGCTCCTTGGCAACGATTGTTGTTCCTCGACCTGAAGATTCTCCTACGAGGCAACGCAACTAATTTCCTTCATATCACGGCTAGAAGACATTGAAAAATTACTGTCAGTAAACTACGCTCACCTGTCTGAGACACAAAGGGAGCCAAAAGCCAGAGCGAGAAGGCCTTCGTGGGCAAACGATTTTCGAGCACTGTCGTCCCACCTGATGTCTGTCGCATCAGCGAGGGACTCCCTTTCAGGATCCCATCAGGTATGCTACCAAGTTATGTTCAATGTAAATGTGTACTGAAGCGTCCTCTTTCTGAAATATTTTTTTTTCCGAAGGAAATGCTTTGGGTCTAATTGTCCCAATAATATGGAAGTCCCCCAAGTCATACTTCCTCTTCACATAAGGAATTCCTTTGTTTGCGGTTAAATAATTTGCGCTTTCTATTCGTATCATGTAGATCTATACTAAATAAGAATGTGTTCGGGCATTTCGTGGTTCGTGTAGCCGACAGGCTTACAGGTCATAAGCCAAGGGGGAAGGGTGAAATAGACTAATTATTTGTATACGATGAGATGACAAAAATGAGAACCCCCACCCCCTCAAGATGAAGACAAAAACATTCGTTGCGTTCTAGCGAACGAGTGGCGGCTGAGAACAGCGCGATTGCATGATAAGGCACGATAAACGATCGTTCGGTTTACCTCCGTTCGTTCGAAAGAGAAGGCAGCGCGGAGAAAACACAATCGATGAACGTAATAGGCCCCGCGCTCATGGCGAGTTACATGGCGTTTACCCAGGCGGCGTGTGGACACGGCTGCTATAAAATTATG